TCTCTCCCTCTTCTAATTATACCCATGTGAGTCTATTAATCAACTTGTAAATTATTTAGAGAGCCATGCGCTGTCTTCAGCTAGTACAAACACGCTGCATGCAAAGACTTGCTGAAAACCAACAGAGCTCCCAAAGGGTCTCTCGCCAATGTTCAGACAGCTCGCAGCTCGCCAGTACAGGGCTGTTAAAAACAAGAAATAACACTAAGCTTACCTCCTCAGATATAAAGATTTACTCAGCCTTTCAACTCTGAAACTCTTTGCAAGTTTTTAACAAAGAGGAAGCTGCTCTATTGTCAAATCTTTACTTCACACTTAGTGATGAGAATATTAATTTGATGTCAAAAAAAACCCCCAAACCAAACCCAAGTGCTTTCAGTGAGACTGTGATCACAATCACCAGGGGACCCCAACTTTCAGAGGCTACACCAAAAAGCACCCCTTTAAAACCATTCCAATTTAAAATAAGGGGGGGGATCTACATTTGTACAGTAATAGTTTTTATTAGAAAACAGGAGAAATTAGGGAATTCCAGATTTTACCCCCCACATGCAGACTGCCATTGGGGACTGCTTCAGATATTACTACTTAAAAAATAGAAGAAAGGAGGGGAAAAACCAACACAGATTGTGTGTGTTCAACTCTAAGAGGCTGCAAACAGTGCAATGTTACCTGTCTTCCATGAATCAGCTCTCTACCACCTGAATCTTCATTTTGGTGGAAAAAACAATTACCCAAACTAATAGCAGTTCTCCCAGCTGAAAAGCAGAATCTTACTGGTTTTGGAGTGGGTTCCCCCCCCGCCGGCTCTTCACACTGTTTTCTTGTCATCTCACTTTTCTTGGCTCCATTTATTGCAGCCTTGCAAACAGGTATATTAATTAGTAGTGATCACTCCATCCTATTTCACCATGAAAACACGGAGAATTGAACAGACAGACTGGCATGCAAATTTCTTTTCAACTAACTGATGACCTTTCCTATTTTTATGATGCCCCAAAATGCTGCTGCTTCTATTTTCATTAAAAAAAATGCAAACATCTCAAGGGGCAAACACCAGGAACATTTAAGGGCGAAAAAGCAGACGTGCTTTCTGCATTTTTTTTTCCTCCCAGAGTATCAAATTCTGATAGACGCCTTTAAAATGGTGAACACAGATCGTGCAGATGGAACTTTAAATTAATGCATGCCCACGTTTCAATGAGGCAGGTCCAGAAAGCAGTCTAGCCCTCCTCAGAATTACAGCAACCTGGGGACACAAATTCCACGTAAAGGTCTTCACCAAGCCTGTGGGGTCTACGAACAGCCTATCTACATATGCATCATTTGTCCATAGTCGGAATTACTAGAAGGGGAGGACTAGTCTATGGAACAGTCTCTTCACAACATTTCAGAAAGAATCAAACCGAATGAATTAATTTATGTGAGTTGTCTTGCTGCCCATGGAAGGGTTCTGGCCTCGACGCTCACCTCTTACTCCAAACAGAAGTCTTCCTAGACTGCCCAAGCAAACGATGTGTGCTAAATTTAGCATTATTGACCAAGATTTAAACTAACTGCAGTTGGTGACCAGAAGACTGGTATTAGACTCCAGTGCTGGCAATTTTCTGCCTGGAGTATAGTTAGCAATAATTGCCCAGTATTCAGTGAAAACCACAACATCCTAAAGGAAAAGTCTGTGCATTTCAGACTGGCTGTCCAAAGAACAACTCTATGTTTATGACAGTCAGAAAGCAGTCAGGTTGCTGAACTTTTCACTGAAAGCGCATTTTTTAATATCTAGTGGGCACCAACTGTAGATTAGAATGTCCTGGGAATTAAAAAATTAATGGGCTCCAAAATATCTATGCCACCTTCATTAAGCAAAATAAATCACCATATACAAAACTGAGGAGTATGATAAAGCATGAGATAAAGTCTTTATGAGACAGCGAACACTAGAAAATATTAGAAAATGGGAATGCACCCAGTTGCCTTCTGGGGTGAATAATAGAATTGCTTGGGCTGTTCTTGATATACACATTGTATACATGAAGCAGCAGTACAGGAAAAATCAACACAGAGAATGTCTGTGAAGGCTAAAACCCAGAAGCAATCCGAGTTAGTCAACCAGAACTCGAACAGAATGGACAGTGGACAGCCTCCATAACTCAGTAATGAGTCAGCTCTGAATGAGCTGGTTTTTGACACCACAGCATACCCTGTTGGCGTATGTTAAATGACTAATTGTATGCAATCGATTGTGTCCACAAGAAGGGAAACCACACTAAGATCAGTCCCCAGGGCAAGCATTTCAACGCTATGAGGCGCGCCTCAAGATTTTATGGCACTAGTTTAATTTTGACTAGCGATGATTAGAGCACAACGTTTCTCATGGTCTGCATTTGGTTCCAGGGCATTCTGTGATCATATCACTTGCATGATTCCTTGCCCAAAGGAACAACTACGCTTACGTGGTACATAACTAGAAATGCAATGAAAACGTTGACGTTCTAATTGCTTTTCCACTTATAACAGTCTCTGCTATTGACTAAACTAACTCTATTCAAATGTGATTTACTTGAAGCTGAATGTAGTTAGTAATAGCACAAGAATCTTTCCTCTCTTAACCTGGTTGTAACTCTGTAGCAAGACAGTAAGGATTCTTTGCCCATCTTTCCTCCTCACTGCACTATGTTCTTTCATTTTCTCCAAGCCTCTTGTGAGGGCAGTAATGAATTCTTGTTAGTGTTTACTAATGTAAATTCATTCTTTGTTATCCCTGGGAGAGGAGGATTAGCAAAATGACAGAACTTCTTATTTCTGGTATTGCTATATAATATTTATTTTTATTCAGCCCTTAATTTTGTAGTATGTTCCACCAAATAAAATATATGTGCATATAAGCAAAAACTAAGTGAGAATTTTTTAGCACAATGCACAGAAATATAGTTATTACTCCCATTAACATTCAGAAGCATTGTACAGCTTTATCCTTGCATGCTCTATTAAAAAAATTGATCTAAATCTGAAATAATTTCTGATCTAGGCGAAGAAAGGAATTACAACTTCAATTTCATTTTCCTGAAATGAAAGCAACTCCCTTGGACTAAGGACGTGCATATTTTTAGGACTGGCTAAAAATTAGAATCTCTGCAATTATTTTACTCTACTGGGAACGGTTTCAGTATCTCCTTTAAGGAACTTTAATGGTTAAGATGAAGTTTATAAAATACACAAAGAGCATTTTAGTAAAGACAGCTCTTAAAGGACTTATCTTTGAATAAATAGATCATCCAAACTCCCACCTCAGCCCTCACTGAAGTTTAGAGAGGGAGGTATTCACAGCGGCTGTCCTCCACTCTGCAGAGATGAGAAGAAAGTGAAATTACAGTATACACATAAGATTCTGAAATTAATGGATACCATGAAAAAACCACGGGTCCAGAGCTTAAAACAATCTCCACATGTGAGTTAAACTACATACACAAGTAGCCACATTCAGGTCAATCAGACCACACACACGCAGAAGTTATTCCCATCCATAACGGCCTAGGATAAATTGCCATTAATATACACTACGATCTCTTGCCTTGGAGTCGAATGGCCATTCTGACCAGCGGCATCTCTAAATCAGAAAATCCTCTCCCAGATCCCTGGGCCTACGTTACAGAGGACCCAGCTTCTCTCTTTCAGGCTGTAGAGATTCCTGCTTTCCATTCCTGCGGTTCCCACCTAACCTTCTAGTTCAGCAATACGGTGGCAGCCACAGAAGACGAATGCATTGAACCAGCCAAGCTACTGCGTTAAGAATAATCACAATCCGTTCACTAGAGATGAAGTTCAGAGTTAAAATGTATTACCTTGTGGCTTGGTAAAGTGACTGATAGAGGGATAGAATACCCACAGCTGCAGGCTGCCAAAGGTCTTTTTTAAACACTTAGAAAAGTACCGAATCTCTTGGTGTGGTATCAAGGGAACGTCAGATAATTTTATAGGCTCATGTTTCAGATGTGTGTAATTCAGTCTCAGGATGAAGCTGTTGTGCAAAAAAAAAGGGGACTCTCAAGCATTCCACCTCACCAAAAGGCTTTCCTTGCCTAAAATAAGAGACCATGAAGATTTCTCTTTGCTCAGGGGGGGTTTGCTCAAAATGCCATTAATACTGAAGCTTAAACGAGATTTCCCACCCTTCAGCAAGACTGTCTCCTTACATTTGTAGCATTGGTAACCACACGGCCTGTTGCGAGAAACAGGATTGAAAGTTCCTCTTGCAGGCCGTTGTATTTTGGCAAAATAAACATTCTTCCACCCTACTGAAATACAACTTATCCTTTAGAAGTACAGACGGTTAATACCCATCACATACAGAGAGCTATACTTGTGCAAGACAACTAACAAATATGTAAGTTTAAGCTGCTGCCCTAAGGAGTTACAGTATTTATGATTTATCTGAAATCACCGCAGAGCCTTCCAAAAGCAAAGTATGCTTAGATATTCTTTGTGGTAGTCCTCTCCTACAACAAAAAATGCTGAGAGAAATGAAGTGCAAAGAAACTTTATTTTTAAGTTAAAAGCATTTGCCTGAAAGTAATCTACAGTAGCATTCTACAAGTCAAAATACAGCTATAAACAGAGAGTCTTGATGATAGCCCACTTGAAATAAGAATGGAACACGATTCTGTGCTTTAACAGCTTAAACATTTTAAAATTACACATCTGTATCAGAATTCTGATTTTGATTTAGAGATAAAAACATGGAAATAAAATTTTGGAATATGTACAAGAAATCTCAATTTCACTGGAACAGTGAACTATCTGCTTTGAAGACATTGAGGAGCTTAGAAATCTAACTTCTGTTACTCAGTGCTACAAATCACACGTAAAGAATGGAATTAATCGACTTCCAGATTACTCTGATGTAACTCAGATTAGAATCTGACCAAGAAAAATTCATTCACAATTTATTTTTCCACCACAAATTTGTAACTACAGTGTAATGAGACAACAACGTGCCCTACCTGGGTATCCGTTGTCAATATAAGGCTTAACGAGTTCTCCAAGTTTTGTCTTGTCTGCAACAGCTTCCTTTAGCAGTTGCCCACAGCAAACTAACAGGAAGGAAGAACAAAAAAGACACGAGGTTAAATTTTAAAAAGGAAGCAACAAAGAAAAGAAAAAACCCCCAGAAGTTGCATACTGGAATAAGGTCACTGAATAAAATAAAAGTTGTAGGGTTTTTGGGTTTGTTGTTAGAATTTTTTTTTTTTTTTTTTTTTTTTTTTTTTTGGCCAAGCAGAGCAAAAAAAGCAAAGAGACTGAGCAGGGGAGAATACTGAATAAAAAAGAATACATTTGGCAAAGAACACATTAAAAAGAGAGATAGAGAGAAAGATATTAATCAAATATGTTTCTGAAATAATAACTCAAGGGATTGCTAGCAGTTTTCACTTTTTATAAACTTATAATTACTGAATAAAGTTACACCTGC